GGAGGGCATCCAAGGCTTTGGATCAGATCACGCCCGTGCGACCTCGCCCCTCTCTTGGATCCCATCACTCCCCGTGGTTCATGGAGGAGCTGAAGATGAAAAAAAGAGATGTCTAGAATACCACTGGCACTCAACAAAGGATGAACTTGATTGAAATGGGTTAGAGCTACTATTAAGGCCTACCTTGTGGCAATAAGCATGGTGAAGCGTCAGTACTTTTCCACCCTTATTGTGTCTGTGGACTGCCATCCCACGGCCTTGTTTAGGGTGAAATGTGCTCTCTTGGGTAGAGGGGGCTTGGAGAATCTCTTGTAGGGACACGTGGAAGAATTTGTTCAGCATCTATCAGACAAAGTTGCTCTAATTTGTTTGGAGTTGGACTCCAGCCTTGTTGCAGGTCCAGAGGAAATGCCTGGGAAGGAGTCTTGCCCAGTTATCTGGGATCAGTTTGAACCTGTTGGTTCTGAGGAAATGGACAGGGTCCTTAGGATTATGAGCTCAGCCACCTGCTCTTTAGATCCATGCCCTCCTGGCTTGTTAAGGTGGCCTGGGGGGTGTCATGTGAGTGGGTTCTAGTGGTGGTGAACTCTTCCTTGAATGAGGGGGTTGTTCCTTTACCTCTTAAAGAGGGCTTGGTTCACCCACTCCTCAAGGAGCCATCACTAGATCTCACTAGACTGGACAATTTTCATCCAGTATCTAACCTCCCCTTTCTGGAGAAGATGGTTAAGAAGGTGGTTGCACAGCAGCTTCAGAGGACCTTGGATGAAACAGATTATCTGGATTCCTTTCAGTCGGGATTCAGGCCTAGGTATGGGATGGAAATGGCATTGTTGCACTTTTAGATGATCTGTGGTGAGAGTGGGATGGGGGTTGTGCATCCATCCTGCCCTAATTGACCTCTGTAGAGCTTTTGATACCATCGACCATGGTATCCTTCTGGATCGGCTCAGAGAATTGGGGGTAGGCAGCACTGTGTTGTGCTGGTTCACCTCCTTTCTCCAGGTTCAGTTCCAGTTGATGGTGATTACGGAAGAGAGATCCTGCCCCCGGCCCCTACTATGAGGGTTTGGTTTGGTGCTCTCTCCGCTCCTATTCAACATTTACGTGACGCTGTTGGGTGAGATCATCCATCACCATGGGGTGAGGTATGATCACTTAACTTACAGGTAGTCCTCACTTAACAACCATTAATTTAGCGACCGGTCGAAGTTATGACGGCACTAGAAAAGTGACTTACAACCAATGCCTGAAGTTACGACCATTGCAGTGCCCCTGTGGTCATGTGATCACGATCCAGGTGCTTGGCAACTGGCTAGCATTTACGACAGTTGCTGCATCCCGGGGTCACATGATCGCCATTTGTGACCTTCCCAGCCAGCATTGAAGTACAGATGCCAATAGAGTTCCTCCAAGACAGATTTTTGTTTCCAGATATAAAGACAAAACATTAAATACATCTTGGCCTTTAAATTCTTTAAATTTAAATTCTTCATTATCATTATCATCATTAAACTTATTAAACGGTATTATCTATTCTAGAATCCTCCTCTTTTCTCTCACACCTCCTCTTCAAAAATCGCCACATTGGACCTTCAGACATGACTGAATAAATATGTATGAAATTTATTTAAAATAATGGGATAAAATAACTACAGGAAAACCACAAGGAAAAGATGTGGGAGGGAGAGACTGACATCACAGACTAAGTTGGATGAGTCTATTAATTTCTTGAAAAATGCACTTCTCCCTCCCCTTCTTTCAATATATTTCTTCCTTCCTGCAATATAGCGTTCACCTGTTATCAACACTCTCCCCTATCTTGCATCAAAAATTAAAATTAAGAATGGATCCAGCCAAATAAACACAGTCCTATAGCACACTACCAGGGAGCTCAGAAAGAGTTGTAGTTAGATTTTTGTTCAGTCTCTGCTCATCACTGCGAGAGTGTGTTGCCTGAATTTGAATAATATTTTAAATAAATCATGATCTTCCAGGGAACTCCTAGTGATCTCTCATGGAACCCTGGTTGAGAAACCCTGGTCTAGAATCTTACCCTTGGGACAGTCTACAAATATTGTAAATAAATACATGCATAACATACTTAGAAAATAATGTTTAGTTTCCCTCAAGGCCCTAAATAATGGAGACAAAATATTTAAGCAACAACTGATAGTTTTAATGCACTACTTCTTCTACTGCAAGGAAGAAATGGATGCTTCACAATTAATTTTCTCTTTTTCTTTGATTATGCAATAAAGTTTGCCATCTAGAACAGTGTTTCTGAACCTTGGGAACTTTAAGATGTACACCTTAACTCATGGCTGGCTAGAAAATTCTGGGAGTTTAAGTCCACACATCTTAGAGTTCCCAAGGTTCAGAAACATTGATTTAAAATCATCAGAATTTCGATGTGTTTTCTAAGTAATTTTCTGCACAACTCAAAAGTTTGTACTTGATGGGATAGTAAATCAAGGTAAATGTTTTCTATACATAGGCATGACAGTATTTCCTGTTATTTTGATTAAGTCACTGTTGATGTTTAATCATTCAGAACTGAACACAGAAAGAGCTTCAGCAAATACATTTACATTATTTTGGCAATTACTTTGTAATGGAAGTATTTGGCTGATTTCAGAAAGGCTAAGGAGGACTGGACCTGTTTAATACTTGGATGAGAGCCCACTGAGAAATCCCAGGGCAATAGGAAGTTAAAAAAACATCTCCGAATAATGTTCTATAGGCAGTGGAGAAGGAAAGGGGACTTCTAAAATATACTAAATTCTTACCTGGCCAGTAGCTGTTCTTTTGAATGGCTGCTTGAGTCACCCTGCTGAAAAAAACATACATTAAGGAACATACCAAGAATCTCTCTTCCCTTTCATTCCTGATTTCTTTCAGCTATTCTAAGTAATTAAGTTGCAGGATGTTTTTTCAGGGCCTCTTTTGCCTTTTTTTTCCCCACAGCCAAAGCCCAGCCCGGCCTGGCCCAGCAGTCAGGCCTGGCACACCACATCAGCAGCGGAGCAAGGAGGCAGCGAAGGTCAGCTGGGGCAGCAGAGCGCAGGGCAGCAGGGGTCTTGGAGTGCAAGGTGGCGAGGGCAACTGCAAATGGGATTGGGCTGGGGCAGCTGGGGCTTCCTGGGGTGTGGCAAGCAGCCCCAGAGCCACAGAGTTCTGAGGCTGCTTGCTGCCCCGCAAGGCAGGGTGCAGGGCAGCCAAGACGGGGGGAGATAGGTGGATGGGGAAGACAGGCAGATGGGGGGAGTTGGAGGTAGTCCCTTACCTTACTGAGGCTTGGGGCTGGGAGGGACCGAGCCCAGAATGGCTTGGATTGGGGTAGGTACTCGCTTAACAACCCACAATTTTTGGTTAACAATAGCAACCAGGACTGCCTGGGATTGCAGTTGCTAAGTGATGTGGCTGCATGACATCTCACTTTACGACCGCATTGCTTAGCAATGGAAATTCCAGTTCCAGTTGTGGTTGTAAGTCGAGGACTACCTGTATTCCATTCCTCCTCTTTCATATTTATTATAGTTCTATAATTTTAAAAGCATATTAACAGCATGGTGCCATTCTGTTCTTGCCACCAAGTAAGCTCCACTGAACTCTGTGGAACATACTATTATATTGCCTAAAGATGTATGGGATTGTATTATTAATTTGGTTTCATGCACGCCATTCCATTTACCAGACTTCACACATTTCTGATGTTTTTTCCTTTCAAAACAAAAACACATGCACATTCTGCAATCTGTTACAGTCTGCGCTGCCACTATTTTCCTCATCAAAACTTCTAGCTCAGTTAAAGGCATACAAATGTCTTTCAAATGACTGGGCAGAAAGCTCAAGTTCTCCCTTCAAAGTAAATTAAAAAATAGTTTTAAAATCTCCAATATAAACAAGTAACTGTTAAGATAGAACGTAACTGTAATTGCTTTTCACAGAACAAATATTTCCTCGCTACTTACAAATGTGTTCTAACTTATGCTCAAAACATCTTCTGCATCTGAAAGAGTAATTTTCATTCCTCCAAGGACATTATTCAGTTATACTTGAAGTAACGACTTATTTCAAATCTTGAAAATTGTTCATCAACAAGCATTTAGTTGTATGCTTATTCAGCTAGACAAGTTTGCATACTTTTATTTAGTAACTTTGCATTTGGTGTAAAAGCTGATTTTACCCAAGTGCGAAGTTCTTCTGACCGTGCAAAAGTTTGCAGATTATTATAAGTAGCTGAACTTTTTTTTTAGAAACATGTCCTCTGATCTCAGAAATGAACCATGACATATCCTCAAGTCTATCATGATTTACCTTGCTTACTATTTCTACAATTCATACAGGAGTGCCGCTGTATGACAGTGAAATAAATTGTGCATGGTGTAACGGTGGCATGTATGCCTTGAAAGGTTCAGGATCTTTCTTAGCTTACTATTGCTTACTAAAGTGCCTTAGCCTACTGAGCGATTGTTTTGGAAGTGCTTGCCGCGTTGTGTAAGAGTATTCTTGGAAAAAGAAAAGGTTCAACCAGTCCTCAGCTGAATGGAACGAAAAGGGCCAGGGAGGGGACGGTCTGGAAGCGAAAACTCCTTCTGGTCGGAAACTCGCGAAGCCTTCCCCAGCGAGGAGATTAAAGAGGCCTCCGGACAAAGGCTCCGTAAGCCTGGGGTGGAGGCGAGGCATCCGAGGTGGTTCTCTGAGTCCGCCGGGTGCCGGGAATACGCACCAGCCTCAAACCCTTCAGCACCACCGCCACTTAGTTTCTCACGGCCACCACAAGGTGTTCCTCCTCAAATCCCAGAGGAACGCCGCGAAGCCTTTCCCTGAGCAAGAATGAGAAAGGGTTGCGCGCTGTTTGGTCAGAGAAGAAAGGAGGGGGGGAGGGGGAGGAGGAGGAGAAGGAGGCTAGCCACCCTTCGGGTAGGGCGTGCAAACCGGAGGGCGGAAACTTTGGAGGAAGAAGGAAAGAAGTGAGCGGGGTGCGGGGAAAGTTTATGGGATTTCTTGCGCCGGTGAAAAACCTCGGCGGGGCAACTGAAGCGAAGGCAGTCCGAAGTGAAGCAAAGAACTGGCGGGAGAAGAGGAAGGGCGAGCAAGAAGCAACGAGCAGAGAAACCAGCAGGCGGGCAAATCCCACAACAGCGGCTCCTCGTCTTCACGCCTCGTGGCTTCACGCGAGTC